TAGAGAAGACGTCAGAGCTCTCTGGGTGAGCCTTCTGCTCCTGCACAACTCAAGAAATAAGGCCTCCTTAGTAGGTCCCCATTCAGGAGATTCTAGCCAGCCACAAAGCCTTCTGCTATATCTCCTGCTTGGGATGGTGGTACTATATCTTTAATTCTCGGGGATCTCTGCAGCCATGGTATCTTCGTCTCCAAAAATCTCTAATGCCTGGCTGTATTGTCATGCCTGTCATGTCCCAGCTGTGCAGGACAGCTGAACCAATCCTCCAGGCACCAGGAAACACAGCTTTTATTCCAGGTACACTAGGTGGCCCCTGGCCAAGAACATCCCCTACAACGTGGTTGAATTTTCTACCCCACCCATGTTAAAAGCGGACCCCTACTCAAGCGTTCCAAGCTGGGGGCAGGGGGCTAAAGAGAAGAAAGCCTTAGATGACTGCTCCCTCCACGGAATACTAGTTTGTGAATGTCTTGTCCTCCCATGTGCACTGTGAACAAAATCTGGCTTGGATCTGGAATGTTGTTTGACCAACTTGCAAACCGGCCTCTGAGTCTTTGGGTTTCAGGGATCTAGGTTTCGGTGGGAAGAACTCTTCCTTGTGGACCCAATCTCCTAATCCTGTCACCTTTCACCCAAGACTCAGGACATGTGAGTGCAACACACAATGATTTAGTTTACCCAGCTGAAGGAAAGAACTGGGCGACTTCAGACCTGGTCTGCCTAAGGCTAGAAAACCTTTTTCTTTTTGAGGCCTGTGAATTGGGTTTTTATGAATGTTAGGTAAAGCTTCTTTTAGCCAGAACCCTTATTCAAAGTCTTATCCCAAGGCACCCCAAGAAGTGTGTAGCCCAGAGCATAGGGCGTTCAGCCCTGGCTCTGCTGTCAGAGCTGCCCCTATTCTGAGGGTTTCCGTGAGAGATACTTTGAAAACACTTTATCAAGCCCATGACCCTTCTGGCCTGGCCCTGCCTGGCTCTCAGCTTCTGCAAAGCTAAGCCTCCAGCTACACCTGAGCCCCTCCCCATGACTAGTTCCCTGGCATGTGACTCATCTAAGGAGCCTGTTGCTCAAGATGCAAGGTGTTCCTGACCACCACTTGGAAGCCTGTGATAGTGCGTCCACCAGCCTCACTGATGTGGACACACCACCGAGCACACTTTACTGACAGTGACTGGTAGAGCCCTTCTAGCTATGAAGGACTTTCTCAGGCTGTTCTTCTCCCTATTTCTCTCCATTGATACCAAATACCTAGAATTCTGGGCCATCCCCAATTAGGTATCCTCCTGCCTCAGCCCTTCCCTTTGCCCCCTTACTGCTGAGACCACCCACTCCCCCACAGACACACCTACACCAGGCATCTGCAGGCATTGTCTGGAAAGGGCCAGCTGGTAGCAGTCAGCACGAGAGCAATGAAGTGTCTGTCCTCAGCGCTCAGGCCTGTCTGTACCAGGAAACTGGCAGTATGTAAATGAGAGTGTAGAACTTCATTTCTGTTAAACCTCATCTGCAAGCAGGTGGCCCACCCGTGCCCTGAACCCTCAGCTTTGTGTCTGATTGCCCCTTTCCCTCACCAGCACACTGCCTCCCCTTGGTCCCCGGAGGGCAGAGGTTTCACTCTTCTGGGGGTTGTGGAGAAGTTCCTGTCTGCTTTCAGATTATGTCTCCTTACTTTAAGCCCTTGTTTTGTTACATATGTCATCACACCCTTCACCCTCTCCCTGCCGCAACCCTCTGCTCACCTGTGACTCCCTCGTGCTTATACAAGAAGACATAGACCACTCTGCTCCCACCATTGAGCCATTCACTTCTCAACTTCTGGCGACCGTCTGTCCCAGGGATCCTGACCTCAGTCCTGTCTCAGTTGCCCCTCCCATGCCTATAGCTAGTTTCTCTCTCATGACTAATATAATACTACCTCTGCCATGTTCAAGTGTTACATTCTACATGCTGCTGCTAGCCACACCTTCTCTCTCCAGCTTACTCCCTCAAACACCATGACTCCAGCAGCCCTTTCGTCCTGCCACCTTCTGTCTCCCCCCTTTCCTCGCCCACTCATGTCATTATCACCTGCCAATCAATTTAGGGCCGCTGTCCGTCATTACAGCCGCACTAGCTTGGCTTACTCATTCTTGTCCCTGTCTGAATTGTTAACCTGGAGAAAAACACCAGCCCAGATCCCACGGAAACCTTGGTACCTGAACACAGAGAAATACACAAAGCTGAGGACAGTTCCGCTTCCTCATCACAACCACCAACGTCAACTTGGCCTTTGGAGATACCCAACAGTCCTCCCTGGTGTCCCTCCTCCTAGTCTCTCTTCGCTTTCTTGGGTGATTCTTCTTCATTACCCTCTTCAAACTTCCGGTATACCTCTGCCTTCAGATTTCCAGCTGGTGCCCTGGAAAAGGCCTTCCTTTTCCAGGAAAAATACAAAGAGGAGGGGTCCTTCCTCGGTCTGCACACCACATCTTCTAATGTGCCCTCCTGGGTCTCTGAGAGAAAAGCTGGAGTCCAATGTGGCTTCTCCTCCCTCTCTACCAGAAGGTGTGCTACATTCGTTCAGCTGGACGTTGCCCCACGTGGAGCCAGCATCCTCCATGGGCCACGGAACCACCCTTTCCTGCCTTCTGAAGGTTTCAAATCCTCCCCATTCTGCATTACCAAATGACTCCCACCTCACGCAAAACTCTCAGGCCTCTCCCACTTTCTTTTTTCTCTGTTCGCATTTGCAAAAAGTTCCAGAGAGTTGCTCCATGCTTATTCTTTATTCATATGTGGCCCCCGCACCCAAAACTGATGGGTGTTGTACACGCGAAACATACAACATATTTCAAAGATTGAGTGTAAAACAAACATTTTATTGCTTTTACTACATGTTGAGATGCTGTGTTTTGATGATGTTGGGCTGGGTAAAGTGTGTTTCCATAGTTCATTTCGCCTCCTTTCACTTTGTGAGTGTGGCTACTGGAAAGCGGACTCACTTGGCTCACATCTGGGCTTGCTTGTGTTTCTTCTGGGCAAGGCTCTCTAGCCTCGCTGTCTCCAGCTTCTGCCACTTTCTCCTGGGCATCTCTACTGGGCCTTCCCCTATTACTGTACCAAATCAGATGTTTTCTAGATCTCAGTGGTCTTGGCTGGGCTAAATGAAGAGGTTAGTTGCCCATGCGTCTTCAGCTCTGGACAGTGGACTGTGGCCATCTCACTTCCTACAGTCTTCATGGACCATCATTAGGTCTCCTGCCCGCAAACTGCTCCTCATTGGTCTCTTTCTTTGATTTTGTTCTCTGTTTTACCTCAACAGGGTTGGAGGACTCTACGATCCAGTCCTCTCACATACAGAGTCCACACAGACCTCAAATGGTCCAACCCTAAATGCACTCCGTACAGAAAACAGTTTTGTCTCTGACCTAGACCTTCTTCTGACCTCCAGACACATGGCACCACCTCAGAAAAGCAGCAGACCTACAGACACTAGCCCAGATGGGAGGAAGGTGGTAGCAGAATGCGGGCATCTATACCACATCCCAACCTACTGATTGCTCCAGCCCAGGCTGTTGAAGTCACATCTCATTCCTGTCACCTCCCAACTCCCAGCTTGCCCAACAGCCAGTCCTACTAGCTCCAACTTAAAAATAAATGCAGTATCAGTTGCTCACCATCTCCAATTTACCACCTGGCTTGAACCCCAGCCTCCCTCAGTGGGCCACTGCAGCAGCCTTCTCTGGCCCTGCCCACTGCAGGCACCATTGGCGTGAGTTAGTCTTCACTCAGACTGTGTCACTCAGCGTTTCTGTGAGGGACCCTCCTTCTTATCCAATCTCACCTTCCCTAATGTGGGCCTTGCACGCCGAGGTAGGTGTGAATGCACTTCAGGAGAGGAACCTGGGCCACAGAAGGCTGACCCCTAGTTTTCTCTGTCCTGGTTGTACTGGAAGTTTGTTGGCCCATAGCATCTCACCATGCATCTTCCGGGATCACTGTCCCAGCTACTTCTCTGCCTTGGGTGCTCTCCAGACAGCTGCAGTGGCCACCCACTCACTTTCTTTGGGCCTCTTCCAAAAACATCACCAGAACTGAGTTCCTTTCTGAGATGCCCTATGGCCAGTCTTTTACCCTCGTCACTACAGACCCCTCCTCTTTCCAAGTACCATACTCTGCAAGGTCTAGTTCCTGACAGCTCAGATCCCAGCTGACCTAAGGATGTGTATATGTCTCTTTTGCTCCAACCTAAGTATCCAGCACACTGCCCGCACACAGTGGGTGCTTGTGTTTGTTGGAGAGGTGTGACCACAGATACATTGTCAGACGAGAGATCTGCCTGTTTCAGTGTTCTGTCTTCATGTGCTGGTGGATCCTGTCTGAAGCTCTCCCACTGACCCCTCCAGCCCTTCATCCATTTGTTCAACATGTAGCTCCTTATGCAGTGGCAGTTATGCACACAAGTGAGGCTGATTTCTAAGGCTCTTTGTCTGTTCCCTGGAACAAGTCATACCGAGCTGATCATCAGGTCATAAGGATGGAGGAGTAGGGAGGAGCATGTGCCTTCAAGCACTCATGGCAGTCCGCTGGATTCCACTTCGGTGATGACAGTACCCCAAGGACTATGACAGACTTCCCTGCTTTATCCCTGTGCCTTGACAGCTGTGTTAGGAGATCCTACTTCTACCAAATCAACACGCTCTGACAGCGAAGGGCTGCCCCCACCTCACTCGGCACTCTGTGTGGAGTATGCCCCCTCCCCAGACTCGGTGGAACTCCTGCTGTTGGAATATCAACTTGTCGCCTTTTGTGGGCAACACAAAAGGCCTACAGTGGCCACACCTGTGACAAACCCCAGCACTCTAGGCTATGCTCTTGGATTGGACCCCAGCTGAGCAAACAGCCGGGGTCCTGACGGCTCCTCTCTCCCCTCTCTTCTAGGCTTTTTAGTGCAATTTTAGAACAAGCAACCAAAGCTGATGGGGCCAATGCTCTAGGAGGAAAAGGAGCTGGATTCGATGTGAAGGCACTGAGGGCTTTCCGTGTGCTTCGTCCCCTGCGGCTGGTGTCTGGAGTCCCAAGTAAGTAAAGCCCCTGTCCCTCCTGACAGTGTTCTTTTCATAACTGACCCCTACTTACTTTTGCTGAACTGCCAGGAGCACGTGTCCAAGGAACCTGGTTTCTATGAATGGAAATTTTTCTTATAGACAAGTCTCAGGTTTAAAGAGTTCTGGTGCAAATGCACCAAACATGTGGAGAAACCCAGAGAATATTTGCAGTAGTCAATACAGCCAAAGAAAGACTGCATAGACAGGGACCCTCAGGCTATGTGTGCCTTGCATGCTAATGTAGGCAGGAACACATTTACAGCAAAGGAGCCTGAGCCACAGAAGGCTAACCCCTAGTCTGCCTTAGCTCACAAGATTAATTCTGCTCTCTGTATGTTCCCCAAAGGATGTCAAGAAAGCATCAGTGGGAATTCTGAAAGCTCAGTTTTGCCCTTTCCCTCTTTTTATACCCATGGGGCATCCTCGGCTGCGTACAGAGACCTGATGCTGCCATCCAGAAACAGGTTTCTGTCAAGGAGTGGTTGCTGAGCTCTCTGAACTGGGTGTGGGGCTGTGGAGGCTTGCTGCCCTCCAGGATATCAGCCTCCTGAACACTCCCTCTCTCCCACTGTGGAGGTTCTGAGCTCAGGAGCTTCAGAACCTCTTGGCTGCAGCACATCCCTGGGGAAGCAGCCTCATCTTGTTTAGTCTGTGAGTCTGGGAAGAACTCTGGCCTTGCTTGCTGAGTTGTATGTCTTGGCCATGTGACTTGTGTGGCTCCATGGCCAGAAGCAGGGCAACACTTTCCTCTGAGAAATAGCCCCTCCTATCTGCTCTGTTGTATTCTTGCTGCTTGATAACATCTTAGAATCTGCCTACTGGCATCCCCTTTCAGTATGTGTGCAGAATGGTGGCGCAGGGGCGGAAAGGGGGATCTTAATTAACCAGAAGCAGAGTCAGGCTACATCAGGTCTCCCAACTATTCTTCCTGCCTTACCACACCATCCTTTAAAGACTTAAGGCTACCATTCTTGGCTGTCTTAGATTTTTGTATGTATCTTCTGTCTCTTCCGCTGTAGTAAAGGGCCCTATAAAGCCCAGAGCTATGCCCAACCTCTGTTCAGTAATTAGATGTATATCTAGACCAGGTTGGGGAACTTGCTGAGTATATGAAAGCAGGAGGTGTTGTCTTCTTTAGGATTTCATTGCTGTGATAAAACAGCACGGCCAAAGCCACTTGGGGAGAAAAGGGTTTATTTTTAGCTTTCAAACTCCTAGGTCGTAGTCTTATCTCTGAGGGGAGGTCAGGGCAGGAACCCAAGACAGGAACCTGGGGGCAGGAACTGGGGCAGAAGCCACAAGGAATGGCTTACTGGCTTGCTCCACATGGCTTGCTCAGTTTCGTATATAACTCAGGACCACCTGCTCACGGGTGGCACACCCCCGTGGGCCTTCCCACATCAATCATTAGTCATGAAAATGCACTGAGACGTTTTTTTCCCAGGTGATTCTAGCTTGTGTCAAGTTGACCAGACAGACCAGGATGGTGGCTGTTTGCTTTGCCTGGGGGACTGCCTGAGCAGAGATTCTAGAGCATCTCAGACTGAAAAGTGACCTGGAGCCAAGCCTCATAAACACACAACCGTTATTGTCTGCTTGGCTTCAGCCATCTTGCATCATTTTTGGTTTATATGATGGCCAACACCAAGTTCCACTTTGGTAATGCCTAATGTCATGAGTGTTCTTGATTATTCCTTCAGAACTCCATAGAGTGGTAGTAGAGGAGAAGATGGGAGGGAGGAGTGACTTTCAACACAACTCTAAAGGAGCTTATGATAGAACAACCGATGTGTGAGAGACAGGAACTATGGGTTAACTAACCCTGGACTTGTACCACAAAGCTACTGTGGACAGGCTGATTCTCAGTCTACTGCTAAGGTTTGGGCCCTTACTACATGGTGAGCAAGCAACATCAGGGCTTATTGTCCTGGAGGAATTGGGGCAGCCCAGGAGAAGAGCACACCATTCAGCTTTTGCAGCAAGAACAGGTAGTCCTGTTTACAACCTGCAAACAGACATGGTGACTCTGGTTCACAAGGCACAAGGGGGAGACTTAGCTGCAGCCTCTGGGCTGAGCAGCTCACGACTCTACATGGTATCTCATCCCAGAGCCTCAGCTACAGCAGCAGCCACTGTGCTGTCTTCATGGCAGAAGGAGATGATCAGAGAACATAGCCTAGAGGCGCACCACACAGACCCAGGCTATGCTTGCAGGGAGCTCACCTCATAGCTGCTTTCATTCCATTGGCCAAAGCAGCTCAAAGATGACGGGACAGAGTACAACCGGCCCTCCGCACTGTGGCTCCTCATCAGAGATTTCAGGCAACTGCTGATTTTGTGAATTACAAATACACAGAGAATGGCTCTTCTCTGAGTTTCAAGAAAGGGCTTGACCTGGCCTTTGTGCTTTCATAGTTTTTGAACCGGTGAAGGGTGAGACCACAGAGAGCAAGTGCATTGGATTAACGCTACCCCCCTTTCTCTTAGCCTTTAGCAAAACTCTTCGTCTACTCAGGGTTTCCATTGCTGCAGTGAAACACCATGAACAAAAAGCAAGATGGGAAGGAGAGGGTATTTTCATGTAGCTGTTCATCATTGAAAGAAGTCAGGACAGGAACTCAAACGGAGCAGTAACCTCAGGCAGGAACTGTTGCATAGGCCATGGAGAGGTGCTGCTTACTGGCCTTCTCAGCCTGTTTTTCTTATAGAACCAGGGGTGGCTGGGGCTCCTCCATCAATCACTAATTAAGAAAATGCCTTATATCAGATCTTGTGGAAGCATTTTCTCAGCGAGGTTCCCTCCTTTCAGATAACTCTAGCTTGTGTCAAGTTGACATAAACTAGCCAGCACATGCCTCACAGGAGTCTCCCCTCCACGTTGTCATCACTTCTTGTTCTCCCACTCTTTGCTACGTACACTCATCCAGGCTTTCTCCTTCCCTGCCAAGGCAGAATATCTCTTGTCAAGACCCCTTCTACAGTAGTAATTCCAATGGCCTTTTCTCCGGGGCTATTGGCGTTTATCTCTCTGTGCACTAGCTAGTTCTGCAATAGCTGACCATCCCTTGTCCTTGAACCTCTCATCACTTGGGATCTGAGACATGTTTCACCCCTAGTCCTGCCCTTGCTTCACTTGCTTTTCCTTCTTGCATTTCTTTGCTTGTTCCTCATCTTTCCCCTTGTAGCACTGGAGGGCTCCAGGGCAGTCTTTGTTCTTCTTCTCCATCTGCACTCATTCCCAGTTGTCCTGCATTATCCAGGTCCATAACATCAAACACCACGTTCTTATGTTCTACAGATTCACTTAGCTCTAGACTCACACACCTGATTGTGCCTCCATTCCTCTCACTGGATGTCCGGTGAGTGTCGTAAATGGCCACACCACTCTCCAGCTTCCCAGATTCCTTCCCACCTTAGGAGATGTTAACACACCTTCTTCCAGCTGTGGCTTTGGCTCAGCCATGCACTCACATGCCTGCCTACCTTCTTTAGACTCTGCATGTCACTATGCCCTATATCAGCCATTTCCCTCACTTTCTGGGTCCTATGCTGAATTACTGTCTTAATTGTCGCACCTCACCTGGCACCTCTACCATACTGATTGTGTTTTTATTCATCCACCATCCATTATTTCTGGATGGACATCATTTCAGACCCTTACACCGAGTGCCGTACAGCATGGCGGCCAAGACTGCCTAGCTTCCCACACGCTGCTGATGCTATAGACCCTATATATGTGCATGCTGCATTCACCAGCCCAGTCTGAACCCTTCTGTGGCACTGGATCTCCATGGCAACTGTGTGAGCCATAGTAATAGAAGGATGTGAGATGTGATGTCTACGGTACAAGTTTCTTACAAAAACAAAGGTTAATGCTATGGCGTATTAAACTTGCTGCTCTAAACTGCGTGGGTGGGGGGCCCCAGCAGTTGCTGCTGTTTTTTTAAATATATGTACTGAATGTCACTGGGTTCTCGATTGAAGATGATACAGAGAAGAATGACTGTGAGAGTAAAGGACTGTGAGTCACCAACCAGCTTCTTCCAGACCTTTCTTTATGGGAGAAGTTGCTGGCCAAGATACAGACGTGAATCTATGTTAAGTGTGTTCTCAAAGGTTTTGTAGTAGGGGAAAAAATACTCATTAAAATGTTACATAAAATAAAAACTAGAGATTCCGAAGAATGTTTAGGTACAGAGCCAGGGGTGCTAGGATGAGTAAGCTTTGGGGATGCCTTGCTTCTAGGAAAAGGGACAGTAGATCAGAAAGCCTCCTTAGAGAAGGTAGAATTTGGAGTGGATCTCAATGGACAAACAAGAAGTGACATTCCAGGACATTGCAAAAGCAAAGGACAGTGTGGTCCTGGAAGTGTACACAGGAGGGACTAGGAGCCGATTGTAGTAAAAACCAGACTGATTCACAATGGCGATGAAATTCCATGTAATTGAAAAGATGTGGTTGCTTTGTAGAGACTTTTCCATAATAAAATTCTTCTCCTTGTGAGGTCCCTACCCTTTCAAAGAATGGAGTGCAAGGCATACATGATGTATGGAAGGATAAGCCATTCATAGCAAGAAACATGGCATAACATATGTGAGCAATGACTATTGAGAGCTGTGATGCAGGATCTACAGGTATGTGCAGTGGAAACGCTTGCTTATGGACTGGTCCTTTCCACATAACGCTCACATGTCCTTCTGGAGAAGACCTTCCAAGGGTATATCAAGTCAGATGGAAGTGTGACGTCATCTTGTGCGTTCACGAGGCCTTTGAAAAAACTTGGAGCAGCTGTGCTCTGATGGAAAAAGGAGCTGAAGGACTGTCTCCATTCAGGAGGGGCACCAGCTATGCTCCCTTCCCATGATCATCTGGGAGCCAGCCACAACAGGCAATGGGAGACACTGGAGATGATGAGCCTTGTAGTTTATGGTCTAAAGGTAGGGATGGACATAGAAGGACTTTTACGGTCGCTC